AAAAAAAAAAAAAAAAAGAGTTGCTGTGGTCGTGGTGTCTCTTCACAGCAATAGAAACCCCTAAGACAAAAGTGAATATGATATTCCATTGTGTGAAATTCTCAAGAATGAACAAAATTATAATTAAAAAACTTAGAGATTAGAAAGAAGGCAAGGAAGAAAGAAAGAAAACCATAGCATGTATAATGCAAATAAAAACCTCTGCTCAGTGGGAGTGACCCAAGGTAGGTGGTATTAATACATGAGCCACAGCTTCCACTCAGCCTAATCAGGACGACAGGATAGTGGCGTACACCTGTGACCCCAGCAGGCAGGGGATTATCAGGGCCACCATGAGTTAGAGATCAGCCTACGAACCAAGACTTTTTCTTAAAACAAGACAAAAACAAAAAAGTCAAGGTGACACCATGACTTCATAGCCAAGCCTGCAGGATAAAAGTCACAAGAGAGCTTGGCCAACACGGTGACGTCCTGAGCAAAAGCTAGATAAAGAGCCTGTGTGGTCCTTGGTCTGCGGTTAAAAATACATGAAGACTTCTCCAAAGAATGTATAAAGACATTGCTGTGTGTGTGTGATTTCCATGATGTTTGATGCTTCATAGTGGGGATCCCTCCATCCCTCACATCCAGCAGTGAGGCTCCTGAGTCTGCAGCCAAGTGGGGCTCCTCCCAGTCCCCTACAAAGGAAAGGCTTGCTGGTGTCCCAATCACCAACCACTCCAAGGTCTCCTGGAGCTCCCCTCTCACCATTTCAACCGCTTGGGAATTCTCACTCAGGCAAGCAGCTCCCTTCTCCTCCTCTGCCAGTTCCAAGGTTACCAGATTTCCTAAGTGGATTCCCGCCCCCTTCCCTTCCCACCACCTGCACCTGCACCTTTGGTCTATTTGGTGCCATTTCTTGCCTATTTTGCTGAACCAATCACTGTCTTTGTAAAGATGTTTAAACCAATAGTCAGTGAGCTTAAAAAACAAAAATGAATTGTAACGTGCAAGGTGAACATTAGTAAGTCATCAATATTGGTTCCTCAGCTGTAAGAAAGATACCACACTAACACACAATGTAATAATAAAGGAAACTTCCAGGGGCAGGAAAGGGTTAATGGGAGCTTCCTATTTTCCCACCAGTTTTCCTGGAAATCTTAAACAGCTTTTAAAAAGTTAAGGCATCATAATATGAATATTTTTGCGAACTATGATCACCCATTAACATCTCTCCCGGGACTCAGCTCGGTGAGGCAAAGGTAAGCTAAGACGGCAATGGAGAGGTGAGTTAAGGGGTGGGGTTCAGAGGAGAACCTGGGAGCCAGCTGCTGTACACAAAGCACACGGACAGTCTGCGGGGATAAGTGGATTAGGGGCCCTAGAGTCAGATTCCCCACAAGCTGAGATGTTGAACAGGGTAGGGGCCGGCATTTCTGCCTCTGCCCAGGGTATCCCAGCTGCTGGCTGGCTAGAGGCTGTCACGATAAGGCTGAGCAAAGCTAAGGCATGACACGTCCCACATTCACTCCTGGACTCCGCATGCCTTAGGACCTCCCTTCTGGGATGGAGTCAGGTGGGGCTGGTGAAAAGGTTGAGAATTTGTGGGGAAGGCAATGTTTCTTTGAAGTTATCCAGCACCTCTGGCTTTTACAGTCCTTCCTACCTCCTCTTCTGCATAGACCCCTGAGCCTTGAGGGAAGGGTTTTAATAAAAATATGCCACTGAGGCATGAGTGCCACAAAGGATCTCACTCCCTCCATACTATGCAGCTGAGGGTCTCTTTGTTAAGTACCGTCTACAGCAGAGGGTTGAGCGGAGCCCTGATTTATGGATATCATAAATTTATGGGTAGCAAGATGTGGGTAGGGAGAAGCTGGAAGAAGTTGGGGGAGGGGAAAGAGTGTGATCAAAATATATTCTATGGAAAATAAAATAAGAACTGTTGGGAATCAGTTGCCTGATTTGGCCGAGAAACAGGAGCCAGTTAACAGTGTGGAGGAGGGCGTGGGAGGAACCCACTCCATCGTAAGTGCGTATTAACTCGGGTTCCCACCTGAGCCAGTCAGCTCCCTTCATGAAGGCCTCCCTCAAGCCACCCCCAACCCCTCCACCCCACCCCACCCCCGCTCTGTGGATTTCTGCCTAGCTTCCAGCGGGCAGAGAGGATGCCTGGTGGAAGGCCCCCTGATCTTTGGGCATGCTTCAGGAAAACACCTGGCCCGTGTTGGCTCAGCGAGCCTGGGCCTTGTGTTCCTCCACTTTGAGGATCAACTCAGGGCTGATCTTCCTTCCTTTAGGCACAGAATCACCATCGAGAAAAGGGATGACACACACATCCACACTTTTTTCCCACCTGCGTTTTCTGCATCCTGCTAACAGTGAACACATTGTGATAAACACTGGGGTCCTAGGAGAGGAAGCAGCTCCCATTACCACTTCCTCTTGACCTGATGAGGCGGTGACAGATCCTGGGTTTCCTTATGAACAAAGGTACCCTACCCCTGCCTCCTACCACGTTACATGGAAGCCTGGTGCTTCCTGTCCTTGCTTCAGCTCTCCTCCGAGGTAAGCTAGCCGCATGCATCAGACGAGCTGCCTTCTGAGGAACACAGCGGCCCACAGGGATCCATCCCATGTATTTAAGAGTGGCCTCTTTTCCTCTCTGCTTGCCAGTTTTCATCCCCTGGTCCACTTCCAAGTCCTCACTGATCCATGCTGAGCGTAGGATACCCCGCCCTGTGTCTCTGTCTCCAGTCCCTGCTCCTCCTGGATCCCGCTCCACGAATTAGGGGCTTTCTCTGAGATCGATCTTGCTGCTCCCAGTTTCAGAGTACCTGCTTCACCCCTGTAATCAGCAGCTCCAACCATCTTTCCTACCCATCTGGGGTCTCACGGCCTCCAACTCCTTAGTTACAGACAGACAGTTTCTATGGTAACCTCCAAAAACCATCACCTCTGGCTCTCCAGTCGCTCTTCCCCCTTAAAGCCAAGGCTCTTTCCCAGCTCCCTCCCTCCTCCCTCTTCATCTTTACCCACACTCACTTGTAAACTTCATTAGTAACACCACCAGTAAAATGTCATGTTAGCTACTCTTCAGTATGGGTGCTTATTCTCGATCCTTCTAGAAGTTCTTCACTTGCTTCTCAAATAATCAGTTTATCTCTCTTAACTATTTGTTTTTGTTTTATGGCAGGGTTTTTTTGTTTGTTTGTTTGGTTGGTTGGTTTTTTTTTTTTTTTTTTGGCTTTTTGACCTTGGCTGTTCTGGAACTCACTCTGTAGACCAGGCTGGTCTCTAACTCACAGAGTCCCACCTGCCTCTGCCTCCCAAGTGCTGGAATTAAAGGCCTGTGCCACCACTGTCCAGCAGAACTGTTTTCTATCTCTAAAAACACACAAAGACCAACCCAGGAGGCAGTTGACCCCTACCTCACTGCCCCTTGCTCTGAACTCAGTAAACCTACAAAACAGCAAAGCCACCTTCGTGGACCCCACACCTCTTCAGCTGTGCTTCCGTGGGACAAAGGCCCTCAAACGGTTAATTCTATTTGTTATCACCAATCGCTTTCCTGTCCATCCACTGCAAGTCTCATCTGTTCCTTGAGACTAATGGTCCCAGACCACGAAGGGTCTCTGTATCTCTAGTGTGACAGGCAGCGCCAGGTCCTCATCTCACACTGGATTGGCCGCTCTTCGGTGGGCTGATAATTTTCTGCTTGAACTGTTTTCCGCCCCTGGCTTCCAGGTACTAGACTCTCACGCTTCCCTCCCACCGCACCGGCTGCTGCTTCCTAGTGCCCTGCGCTCACTGGATCGTCTCTTCTTTTCTCTTCCTTTCTTTTCTCTCCTTCCTCCATTCCTTCTTTTCTTTCTTTCTCACCTCGAAGCTGATTTACTGAGTTTCTGAAGTACATGAAGTGTTCATTTGGGTGCAGGGACAGAATAAGTAAATCGTGAAAGGGATCGGTCAACACAGAGATAAACTGAACATCTTTAAAGGAAAAGCTAGGTCGCTCACTTCTTACGGGAATTCAAACCTGGTCTATACTTTCAGTGTATCTTAAACAAGGGCCCTTCCTTCTCGGCACAGGTCCCTCTACCCACAGGAGTTCTGTAGAAAGCTACCCCATCAAAATGAAAGGCAGACTTGAGCACCTAGACCACAGGAAGAGCATTTCCTACTTTATCACATTCAGGAAAACAAAAGAAAATACAAGTGGTGCTCGGCTCATAGGTACAGAGTGTATTTGGAGAATACCACGCCTCACTTGCGTGGCCGTGGAGATGATGGTTGACAGCCTTTGCTGGGGAAGGTGCAGAGCGTTGTGGCTTGAAATGGTTATCTTGTCTGTGCTGACCAGTGCCTTCTGCTGAGAGGAGATCTGACGGTGGTTTCCGAGCTGGGTGATACAAATCAATGGTGGGCAATTTTTGAAGCAGCTGTGGAAGTAACCATGAGGCCCAGGGTTGGTTGGGCTGATGTGGGTTTCGCTGGAGCTGTGCAGGCACTGTAGGAATCGAGGAAAGTCAAATGTTCTTCTTGGCACTGAGAGCCTTGGCCTTTGGGTCTTTTGTAGTCTTCTCTGTGTTGGCTCTGACGGGAGTATGACTCGTCTCTGGCTCCTTAATCTTGGGTTCGGCCTCTGTTTCAGACTTAGACAGGACAAAGGGTTCCTCCAACCTGTCGCATTTCACCTCAGGGTTGACCCAGTGTGAAAAGAACGTCATCTTATTTTCCGAATCAGCTTCTGGGGGTGCTGGAAAGGTGGAACTCCAGTGAGTATCATCTCCCCCATCAGACCTACCAAGTTTCACCCCTGCAACATGGCCTGAAAGCATTCCACCTTGAAAATTTTCTATTTAAAAAATGAAGCCCCCTTGAATATTGGACTCGAAAATACTGGGCCATCAGATGTTGGCCCAATAAGCTGGCATTTTAAGGTCTGGCCTTGTAAGAGCTGGGCACCCTAGGCTGAGCATTCCCAAGAACCTTTGGGTGAGATAATCTGGTTTGGCCTAAGAGCTGTGTGGATCATTTCAATCTGCCCCAAGGAGTCTTGAAGGATGCGCTGGGAACCAGAGAAGAAACTGGTGAAAGGGTCCGCATGGGACTGGAAGCCTAGTGGATAGAGATGATAGCGCTCTACTGATAGTCTTACCAGCCCCTCCTCACTGAAGGCGACTTGCTTAAGCTAAAATTCTACCTGAGAAAGATCCTTAAGGGGCAAATGGAAGCCAAGCAGCCCTGGGGTTCTTCTTAGAAATCCTCTACTGGCCCATGAGCCTCATCAAAGTGTCTGTTTGTGCTCTGTGATTCTTGACAGATTCGGATTCCACTGGGTCCTCTGTTTTCCCTGCTTAGGTAGGGACTGGGCTTCACTCTGGTCTAAGGGGGCCAGGGGACCTTCGGGTTGGATTATTCACTGTGGCCCCCAGCTGCACACAAAGAACCTGGGTCTCCAGTGTGTCCCAACTGGACTGTGAGATGTCAGCGGCTCGGTGGGCAGAACCTAGGGCATCTGCTCAGTCCAGGGTGCCCTTGTCTCTACTCTACTGTCTTTAGTTCAGCTCAAAATTCTTCTTTCAAGCAGACCCACTCTAGATCTGAGGGACGTGGGGATTCCGGATGGGATAGGAGTCTTGGATCAGTGTTTTCCTTTGCTTGTTTAGATTTCCAAAGGTCTCCTGTGTGGAGATACTCTTTGGCCAAAAAGTGTTCCCTGTCCTCCTGTCTGAATGGGACTTTTCCAAATTTATTACTAGGAATTTCTTTTTGAGGTAGAAATTTAGTTTGGGAATGATAAGTGCTTTGCGTGATTAAGGAACACCAGGAACATGTCCTCAGTTATACTTTAGCCTGGAATGCATCTCTGCATATGGTGTACTGGCACTTTGAACACATGACTGGGATTTAGCATGCCGGTCAAGGTCAGACTGAATCAAAGATTCTAATGGGCTCAGGTCTCATCTCTGTGATTGTGTATTGGCTAGGACTGCCATGGTAATAGCCCAGAGAGAGCCACAAAACAGCAGGCAGCCCTGGCAGGAAAGCAAGCTTGGGCAGCCTACAGCCAGCAGTAACAACATCCGGCAGAATCTCCTGCTGCTGGTCAAGGCCTGTCAGTGTTCAGCAGTCTGATCTAAGTAGGGCGCTGACTACTATCTATGTGTCTCAGACTTGTTTTCCAGGGAAGAGCAGAACAAGTCGCTGTCGGGGCTCCTAGAGTACTGTAGACAGTGCTTTTCAGTCTCAGAAATTATGGAGGTGGGGATGGTGCCCTTGCAGGTCTTCCTACGTGTAATCTGTGGGCTCTGCCACAATGTTTTGGTCTAATCAGCCAACTATCGATTGGCCCTATTGCTGCAATAGGTCAGTAGAGGTCATCATTCTCAAGGGCTGCTAGAGTTCTGGCTGAGAAAAACTCGCCAAAGGTTGGGTTTGTGCTGCTTAGGACAGGGGCTGCTGCTGAGCAGGGGCTAGAAGCAGCCGCATAGACTGCTGGATCTTTAGGGACCGGTTCCAGCAATAACAAGTCAGCCTGCTGTTTCAACCTCTGCTGGAGGTAGAGCTCCAGCAGGCACACTCCAGGACAAGGCTGCTCCCCTCTTGAGGTCGGAAAAGGCCTTTCGTCAGGGAGCTCCCTGGGTCTGATGAGACAGGTTCTAACACATCTCAGGGTTTATACATTATGTGGCTCTCTGCATCTACAGAGCTCTCTGGATTAGGGGCAAGCCCCACTGAGGTTACCACTGCCATATCCACAGGTGTCACGCCAAGACTTCACACTTGGCCAGAACTGGGACATTCTGGGTTTGTCAATGGAAATGCCCAAGTTTGAGAATGTGGGGAAGAAGCTGGTAATAACTGAAGTGTAGAAAATTTTAGGCAATACAGAAATAAAGGAGTATCTGAATAAGAAAGGGCCATAATCGCCCTGTTGTGGAAAGATCTCTAAAGGCAGACTCAAAACCCATTGTGCAGAAGATAAACTACAGAAAGAGACCTAGGGAGGGCCACTGGTGTTTCAGTATGACCACACACCCCAAACTCCTTCAAGGCCATGTATAAAGGCTATTGAAATAAAAGCTAAAAGAAGGAAAGAGTAGAACCCAGGCCGTGGAATAGGGTTAGAATCTACTCTTGTAGTGGCCTTCTGTGGGTGCTAGAGTCAAGAGGATGGTAGCCCATCCTTCAGTGGTTGTCTGTTGTTGGGTTTCTGGGCTTTGAAAATATGGGAAATGGGGGGCTGGAGAGATGGCTTAGCTGTTAAGAGCACTGGCTATTCTTCCAGAGGTCCTGAGTTCAATTCCCAGCAACCACATGGTGGCTCACGACCATCTGTAATGAGATCTGGTGCCCTCTTCTGGCATGCAGGCAGAACACTGTATACATAATAAATAAATCTAATATATATATTTAGGTGCACGCCTTTAATCCCAGCACTCGGGAGGCAGAGCCAGGCAGATATCTGTGAGTTCGAGGCCAGCCTGGTCTACAAAGTGAGATCCAGGACAGGCACCAAAACTACACAGAGAAACCCTGTCTTGGAAAAAAAAAAAATGTGAAGTGGTGAAGTGGTGTATGCTACAAGATGCCCCCAGGAACTCCTCCACAGATGAAGGAAAACCTCAATGTGAAAATGCATGCATTTATATTTCCCTATACTCACAGGCACCTTGGGGCCTTTGGGACATTGGAAGAGCTGGTGATGGGAATATGAGGTCATAGGGTATTGTTTCAGGTTCAGGAAGCTCTGGGTCCTGGGAAAAAGAAGAAATGTAATACTCAAGGGCTGCTGACCTTGGTCCTTCAAGACAAATTTCTTGGTTTTCTTCCTCCTCTTTTGCTGGTTTGCAGGAACCCCGGGTTCTTCCACACTTGAAGAAGACAGAGAGCCCGCATCCCGGGACACGTTTGGCCCTTGAGGCTCCTGCTTTGGCGGAGGAGCAGGACAGTAATATTGCACGTTGGAATCACCCGTTGATGGGGCAGCTGACTGAGTTGAAGATTTCTGGTCGGTTGATTGTGACGGCGTGAGGCTGGATGCCTGTGAAACATCTCTGGAGTGCTGGGGACAGAGCTCTGGGCTCTTGTCCAGCTCCGCTTTCGAGGGAGGCAAGGCCTCCAGGCTCAGGAAGCTCTGTGAGGCTCTCAGTGAGCCGGGAGAGGCCATGTTGTTTTCTATCCCCAGCAACTGCTGAATTTCCTTAGCCATAGCATTGCAAATTGAGCAGGAAGGCTCTGAGCACAGGAGGCGCCGGACACTCCCTTCCTGAGGAAGCCAGCCCTGGCTAGGAAGGAAAATGGCAACTATTAAAGACAGCATGGCCCCTGCCTCCTCAGAAGCGGGTGAAGACTTCTTCCCTTGCCCTACAAGTCCTGGGCCTAAACTTCCTGATGTCTATCACTCTGCTTTTCTTGCTGGGAAAACTTCAGTTGGGAAGGTCTGGGGTTGAGCTGAGAGTCTGGGAAAGGGTCTCAGACAACTTCTCAGAGGTACAGCCCCCAGAGAGGACTGACTGGAAACCTGGGTCGGTTTTCTGCCAGCCTTATCGAGAAGCTGAACCAGAAGAAAAGAACCAGGCAGATATGAGGTACCAAGTGATTAGCTGACAGGCACCACCAAGGGACACCACCACGTAAGGCCTGAATCAGTTTTAGGGGCGGGAGGGCGGGCAGGGGCTGAGAAACTTGGTGCCTGGTAAACAGTATGTCTAAACTGGGAGGAATGAGGTCCTCATTCTAAGAACTGTGGATGTCCCTGCTGCTGCCCCCGCCCCCCAGTGTCTATCAGGAATCAATCCCATTCTATAAAAGTCCTAAGGGATAGTATAGGTGACTGGCTGAGGGTATCCCAGAAACTGGCCTTATGAAAAGAAGCCTTCAGAGGAGATATGTGTGTCAGCAGAATTCAGCCAGACCCAGCGCTCCTCTACCCTAGAAAGGATGTAGCTGGAAAGAGATGGGGCAGTAATGGCTTCTTCATGCCAAACCTATTCTCTTAAGTGAACCACTTGTCTCATGATGGGGCAAGGCCAGCATGCGTTAACCCTGAAATGCAGAACCACTGGGACCCTGGTGGGCTTCTCAACTGGGACTGATACGCTCCATGCTCGCTCTCTCTCTCTCTCCTCTCCTCTCCTCTCCTCTCCTCCTCTCCTCTCCTCTCCTC